AAGATGGGAAAAGTCCCCACATATTCAGGGGTGTAAATTCAGTTTACAAATTCCCTTTCCCATCTGTATATATATATATAAACTCTTCTACAGCAAGGTAAGGGATGGAGATTAAAGTAAAATGTGTGTATAAGAAATGCTCAGCAGCATGTGATTCTGAATCCTGCAACATCGGCGTTTGCAAGGATTGTATTTAAATACATTCAGCCACTGAAGGAATAGTTTAAGTGTTGAATGGATTCTTCTTCCAACTCCATGGATCTTCCTAAAATAGCTCAAAGTGCTGAAGAGTAGATTGAGGATGCCCAAAATAATTAACCCCCCCCCCCAAAAAAATTATATTTAACTGTATTTTCTGAACAATGCTTATGTACCCTTGGATGTAGTCCATTCTGCATTAATGAAATGTGCACCCATTCCTGAATTTCTAAACTAGTTTGCCACGAGTAAAAACAGTATTTTAAAAATGCATCTGAAATCAAGGTTGCCATGGTGCAGAACCTTTTTAAGACAGATTACCCACAGCTGTGAAACAACCACATAATCTTTTTTTTTTTTAAAAAAAACCTCCTTGCTCTTACCAAGTCGCAAGCCTCCAGGTGTCAAAGCACTCTTGTCCCCAGGACAGGTGTTCTTGTTAGCAGTGATGGACACTAGCTCCAGTACTCTTTCAGCCCGGGCTCCATCAATGCCTTTTGGGCGCAGATCCAGTAGTATTAGGTGGTTATCTGTGCCACCTAATCCAAAAGAGTGAGAAGAGTTTAAGTTTTCTCCAGGCAATCTAACTAATCCCCAGCAATTCTCCATAATAGCTTTGCCCAACCTGGTAGGATAGCCTCTAGATCAGAGGTCCCCAATCTGTGGTCCCCAATACCAGACCGTGGCCTATTTGCAAACACACCACATGAGCAGCGGGCTGGCGTGAATGCAGCTTGATTTGCACGTGTGACAGGCACCAGCGCTCACAGTTCCACTTGCGCGAGCGCCGCTGCTGATGCTCACAGCCCCACTCGCCACTCACACAAATGAAGTTGGGCACGCACACCTGCCCCTCACAGAAAGCCATCCCCCTCTTCTCTCCCCCCACCCCCCAGGCCAGGGCGCCAACCCAGAAAGGCTGGGGAACACTGCTCCAGATGTAATGGACAACTCCCATAATGCCTATCTGCAAGTGCAGACTGCTCTATACCTCTATAATTAGAGGTCCATTTAGAAGTTATTTTGAGGAATATGGAAGGCAAGTTAAAAAGAAAAGAAGTGAAATTTCCAAGAGGATGAGAGATGATGGATAGAAAGGTGTTTTAAAAAAAAGATTGGCTGTACTAAAAATTAGAATAGATTAAAAAATCAGAAATAGGGGGAATATTGTTATACATATTTTTACATAACACATTTAAATTGAATGTTAGAGGTTAAGATTAGATTTTGAAACAGGATATTATCAGCTGTGCTCAAAAACAATGTTTATTACTGTTAGATGTAGCAAATATTGAATAATTGAAAAATGAAGGACTATGTGCTGATACAGATATGTATAATAACATTAGATCACGTAAGTTTGATTAATGTACTAATTTTCATTTGCATCAATATTACTTTTGTATCAAAATGAATGACACTCAGATGCCACACTGTCCATGCAATGATATTGATGTATGTTCAAAAATAAAAATAACCCCAAAAATGTTATTTTGATTAACATCCAAATAGAATTGCCATGCTGATTCAAGGCAAAAGTGCCTCTTGTCCAGCTTTTTCTGTCCAAATCAGAATCTCTTAATCACAGCTAAGATATGGCAGATATCTCCTTCATGAAGTAAATGAACTCTTTCATGTTACTGACGCCAAACTCCAAGCCAACAAATCTTGTGTCAATGATTTCCACAGGGTAACTATGTTCTCCTTGAAGGTCTCAGAACAGGGTATAGAATCCACCTTCCCTTCAGCTCTCAGAGCAGGGATAATAGAAGATGTCATGCCCCCGTGTGCGGGTTTACATGATTTCTTTGAAAAGTTCATTTTCATCTCTATTGAACCTGCTTTTATTTCTTTTTATATGCAATAGTCCAAGCAGCTAAAAACAAAAAATTCTAACCTGATTCTCCTGAGATTATTATGGCATAAGAGAAAGCATTTTTTTTACCAGGAAAAGGTGAGACAGAAAACTCTTAGAAAAGCATTTTTTTTTAAGTTTAATAGGCAATATTTTTGCTAAATCTCCAATTCACCTGGGGACAATAGTGACCTCCATTGTACCCACTAAGAATTACCCCATTACAAGGCACATAGCCCTGAAAACTACATATACAGCAGTATTAAGCAAATACCTCCACTGGCACAATAAATTTCATGTTATGTTGTTCACCTCAACATCATAGGGATTTTATCTTATTTGAAAATATTATATAGTTCTTCGCTGAGTCGACCATCTGAATGTGTCCTCCCTCCTATCACAATATTGTTCACATTCTTTCATAGACTTACTACATTACCAAACATGTCAGCCCTTCACATCTGCTTGTATACAGGTAGTTCTCCACTTACAACCACAGCTGAACCGAACATTTATGTTGCTAAAAAGACATTTGTGAAGTAAATTTTGCCCCATTTTTATGACCTTTCTTGCCACAGTTGTTAAATGAATCATTGCAATTGTTAAGGGAGGAACCTGGTTGTTAAGTGAACTTGGCTTCCCATTGGCTTTGCCTGTCAGAAGGTCACAAAAGCTGATCATGTGACCCTGGGACACTGCAACCGTCCATAAATACGAATTGGCTGCCATGTCTGAAAACCTCATTCTCTGGTCCCGTTGGCCCACCCAAATTTGATCCTGTATCATTATCCTGGGACACATATAATTGCCTTCATTCGTGTCTGAATTTTGTTCACGTGACCAAGGGATGCTGCAACAATCATAAGTGTGAAAAATGGTCATAAGTCACTTTTTTCAGTGCCGTGTTGTGTCTTTGAAAAGTCAAGAACTACCTGTACAGCCTCTTCATGGATATTGCCTGAACAACCAGTTTCTTCAAGCATCAAAAGAAGGCTATATGTTCTGACCCACGCCTTTTTCCGACAAATCAAACACAAACCAAAAGGAACAAAAATCTTGTAATGCTTTTACAAAATAATTAGCTGTGATAAGCACAAGCCTTGCCAAACTGTGCGAGGCTTGCCAAAAGATAACAGACAAGAAATAATTTGCAAGACAAAAATGTTCAAATACAAACGCAGAATATTGGAATGTCCCTGAGGCTGGAGTTTCAAAACGTCTTTGCCTTCTGCAAAGTACGTTCATTCACAGCTGACTTTTATCTTCTCGAAGGAGGGGCCATTACCTTGCAGCCTTACTCCCAAGTCGCCCATGCTGTTGTAACTGCTCTTTCCAGCGAGCAGCTCTGTGCACACGCGCACTTGGCACAGGCTTCTCGGGAACCTCCTCATCACTGCTGCCAGCCTCCACAATCTCTGAAGGCAGCAGTCCACTCCCTAATGGTCCTGGCCCCTCATCTGAGTCCTCGCTCTCCTCAGCCGTCTGCACCTGCCGCTGGCCAACCACAACACTATAATGTAAAGGAGGAACAGTGCAACTTGTACCAGTTCAGATTGCTGGTGGAGATTTCTATCCCACATGAAAATGTCCATCCACCCACACATCATATGGAAAGCTGGCCTAGAATTATTCTCTCTTACCTAAGAATCATTCTATATTGTGGCTACAAATGGGGGAGAACATTAAAATACAGGCAGTCCTCAAGTTACGACCACAATGGAGCCTACACTTTATATTGCTAAGTAAGAAATTTGTTAAGTGAGTTTTGCCCCATTTTACAAACTTTTCTTGCCACATTTGTTAAGTGAGTCACCTGCAGCTGTTAAATTAGTAACCAGGTGGTTAAGTGAACATTGACTTGGCTTGTCAGAAGGTGGCAAAAGATAATCACATGACCCTGGGGGATACTGCTATCGTCATAAGTGTGATTCAGCTGTCAAGAATCTGAATGTAAATCACGTGACCCTGCGGATGCTGTAGCAGTCATAAGTCTGAATAATGGTCATAAGTCACTTTTTTCAGTGCTGTTGTAACTTCGAATGGTCACTGAGTTGACTGTTGTAAGTCGTCTAGTGTGGGCAACAGCTCAGCTCAGAAAAAGCTGCTCCTATGGGTGCTCTACCACACATGGGAACAGATCTTCACTATACCTGAAACAAGAGTGTATCCTCGTTGTAGCAAGGCCTCTGCCATGGCCTTGGAGTTCTTCAGTACTTGCTGACAATACTCTTGGAACATGGGTGAGCTGGCCTGAAGCAGAAAGGGACGCAAGGTTGGGAAGAATCAGCATTACTTATCCTACTTACGACATTATAAGACATCACAGGACTCAAGGTGTCCCATCATGAAGACTTAAAGGACAACTTTATAGTTGGGCTCCCACATTATGCTAAGCCCATTCAGGATCAATCACATTTTAGGGCATTAAACCTTTGTTAGAAACCATGATTTGTTCATGGCTTACTGATTTTTAAAAAAAAGCCTGTGGTGGCACAGTGGTTAGAGTATGGCAGGCTAACTGTGCCCACAGTCTGGCGTTTGAACCTGACTGGTTCCAGTTTGATCCAGCCTTCCATCCTTCCGAGTAGGTAAAATGAGAACCCAGATTTTGGAGGTAATATGCTGTATATATAAACCATTCAGAGAAGGCTGTAAAGCACCATGAAGCAGTATAAATTGTAAGCCTATTGCTATTGCTATGAAAACTATACTATTATGTGAAAATAGGGACACACATGGTTTTTAAGTGTATATGATGAACACTGGCACTCACCCATCTCCCTAACCAATTCAAAGTTATAAGACAAGATCATCTTAAAAAGTTAGATCAAGAAGCCGGGATTATTTTGTCTGTCTGCAAGACTAATTCTACCCTGTTTACAGCTTGTTCAATTGAGCATGCTTAAAACAAGCATGGCTTAGTGTGATGTATTAATAGAACCTATTTATCTACCCGGCCAAACTAATATATCCAAAGGCTGCATTGCACAGAATCTCTTAAACTGCATTACACTGTTGTGGTTTTTAAAAAGCCAACAAAGGTATTACTGGTAAACATTAAATTACTAGGATATTGTAGGCGTAATACAAGATCACAGTGATGTAGACAATTTGCAATTTCACAGTGCACGCAGGCACACATGTAGCATCTGTCAGCAACCCCTTGAATCAAATGCATCTTTTCCCAGAACTGTTTTGCAGCTGCACAATCCTAGGAAAAGGTGAAGATGCTTTAAGGAGTGGCCAACAGATCCTACCTGAATGTTTCTGTGTTCTTAAGCAACGTTTTTCTTTTAAATCCAAAACGTTGCAGAGCTCTAGTGCGTTGCTATGTTCATTTCAAAAACTCCCATCCTTCTTCGGAGCCGAAGAAGCTTCTCGGATGAGAAATGAAACAGTTTCAGAGAAAAACCAGAAAGTCCCTTTGCCTCTTGAAAAAAAGCACTTTGGGGACAAACCATGACCTGGATGACTGAGAATCTCTGTAGACTCCTAATCTCTGGATTACTCAGAGTTCGATCCAGACTTCCTGAGCTCCCAGAATGGAACTCAAATCCAATGAGTATCGAGGGCACCAAGTTGGGGAATACAAGTCTTAGTTTCTCCCAGAAGGATTAGAGCCACCATGCTGAATCAAATAAGGAAGACAATCCTCTTTACAGCAAAAATGCAATAAACTCAGCTCTAATGGATTCTCTGGGATTTATTCCACCGTGATGACTTCATATTTGTTTGTCCCAACAGAAATCCAATCTAAGTCAGTCCTTGGGACTAAAGGTTTATTCTTCTAAGTTTTGGGACTCATGCTGGAGCCCATCTTCAGAATGACACATTCTGGAGAGAGAGAAGAATTTCCTGAGGATGGGGTCCAGCACAAGCCTGAAAGCTTGGAAGAATAAATCTTTGTTCTCAGTGACCAACTCAGATTGGATCCTGTCACGTTATCTTGGGTCATGCATATTAGCCTTCATTTGCTAACATAAATCCTCTGGTATTGTCCTTCAGATTAACTCTGGATTTACAACTAGATTGGGTGATACAAGGATAGAGAACGTGGAAACAACCTAGTTGGCCATATTTTGCAATGGTTGGTCAACAGATGTTGTTCTGGCATCTCAGCAAAGTAGACTGTGAACACAAAGGGCCAAGGCAGGTTAGTTGCTCTCAGCAAAATCCTTCTTAGTTGCCTGTTGGACGCTTCCCTTTTCTAAAGGCTGCTAACCATCCAAGACTTTAGAAGACTACATGTTGCTCATTCCATTTCAAATCAAATCAAAATCTTTATTCCTCCTTCTGCTGCCTGCCGGCTGCCTGAAATTTGGCTGTTCAAATCTCACCAGGCTCAAGGTTGACTCAGCCTTCCCTGCTTCTGAGGTGGGTAAAAAGAGGACCCAGATTTTTAGGGGCAATAGGCTAACTCTGTAAACCACTTAGAGAGGGCTGGAAAGCACTGGAAAGTGGTATATAAATCTAAGTGCGATTGCTATTACGGCCTATGGGCCAGAAAGCACAACATAAATAACTCGACTTGTAATTCTTTGACTGCAATGTTGCAATGAAAGTACATAAAATGCACTGCTGTAATGATAATTGTAGCATAAAGAGCAGTGGCAATCATGACATCTGTGCTGAGTTTCAACTACAGGTAAGATGGATGCCACAAATGATAGCACAAAATTGGGCAACCTGGAAAGATACGTCACGGTCTTGCTCAGATAAAAGCAGAAACAGATACACATTGTGCTGTTTACCGGGGTGTTTTTTTAAAATGAGATAATATGTATCTTCCTTGGTTTTCCTATCTGCAAAGGGAGATAAAGCACTGTTGGAAAGGGACGGTCAGAGGGTAGAACATCCAACTTGGCCAAGGTGAAAGGCCAATTAAATTCCAGAATTAGAACTGAAGAGAGATAAGAGGATGCTACTCCCCGCTTGAGAAGAACCCATAAACCAAAGGCTTGACTACCAATCTTAAACTGATTTGAAAAATCAATATTTCATGTCACTACCGGTAACTGTGCTAAAATCCACTCATGACCACCCAAACCCCAAAGAAAACCAGACCTCTCCTTTCCTACCTGTTTCAGTGCCACTGCCACTGCAGCAATGGCGTGGTTGTGGGGGCCGCCCTGCAGAGAGGGGAAGACTGCAAAGTTGATTTTGTCCTCCAGATTGTAAAGGGTCTCCTGGCCACTCTTCTTGTCCACAGAACGGACACCCTTACGATAGAAAATCAGCCCTGATCTGTGTGCAATACGAAGATGGATGCGTCAAAATGACAGTCCAGATGTCTACTGCAAACATTGCTCCAAAAGGTACAAGGCTGAACAAGGCTTTTGCAATTATAAAAAAAAAATAATCCTCCATCCATATAACGTCCTTCGTCAAGACCATGTTTGCAGTAATTCTACTGAGGTAAAAACAACAGCGGTGATTGTAGCAACAGGAAGCAAATTCACCTCCTTTTGACTCCGTTGGTAAAGAAAAATGTAAATTTCTTGTTTTTCTAAGTACTGAAATCTCAGATGTCATCAAAGAAGCTAAACAGAAATCTCTGTGGGTTCAGAATCACCTCACGGCAAGATGGGCAGCAAACAAATAAATAAAGTAAAAATTCTGTATTGTTACCATTGCAAAATTCAATATATGCAGGCAAAAAGTGACAAGAGACAGGCAATATTTTTAAAAAGATGTACTTTCTTTGACTTGCAATTTCACTTATTGGCTAATCAGCAATGCACCATCCTTTCCTGACTTTGTATTGAACTCCAAAGACAATCTCTCCTAATTAACTTTGGACTAAGTTTACCAGAATCCCCAGCTGGCTACTTCTGCAATGCTAATGACTTGAATCTGATAAAACATAGTCTGCTTGCTCAATAGACTATGCACAGGTGACACCATGATTCCTATTATTCCCCAGTAACTCACACTTTCCATACTGGGAATGGCAGAAAAACCACAGAACCTATAAACCTAGAACAGGGGTGTCAAACGCAAGGTTCGGGGTCCAGATCCGGCCTGCGGGGTGCTTAGATCTGGCCCACAGCCCCCCCCTGGAAATAGCCAAGGATCGGCCTTTGGTGCCTCTGTCAGCGAAAATGGAGCTTCATTGGCAGAGGGCTGCAGGGGGCCATTGCAACCGAAAATGGAGCTCAAGAGGACTGCGGGCAGCCCTCCCAAGCTCCGTTTTTGCTGGCAGAGGGTTGCAGGAAGATGTCGCAACTGAAAACGGACTTCGGGAGCCACAAGTGCCCCTGACATGAGTGACATCGAGCTGGTCACACCCATCCTGGCTACGACCCCTACCCCCCCTAGGGTCAAGCACAACCCTGATGCGGCCCTCAATTACAATCGAGTTTGACACCCCTGACCTAGAAGATACAACTAGGTCAAATGAAGAAAAACGTATTGGTATTGCATCAAGACTTTGATATATCTGCCCCAACACTGTATGGGGTCCTCGGTGCTCTCTCCACTAGCACTGATGATAGCTAGTTGATTAATGCAATGTCTGCAAGAAAAATACAGAGAGCACCAAGGACCCCACAATTTGACCCAAATATTCTCTTTTATTGGTCAATGTATGTATGTATGTATGTGTGTGTGTGTATATATATATTGATATGTATATGTATATGTATATGTGTATGTGTATATATATATATATATATATATATATATATATATATGTGGATCTTTGGTTGTTCGGGTTTTCTCCCGCGTAAGATTCGAAGTATCTAGGCAACGTTTCGATGAAGTCTCATTCATCATCTTCAGGCTT